GGCATTGAACAAGCATCAAACCCACCTCCCATTCTGATGTTGTAAGCGGAATAGTTGGGTCCAACATTGTTGTCAAAACATCTACAAAAGGAACTCCAGCGATAGCCACCTTGAACAAGTCAGGCCTCATATTAAGAACAGCACCCATCAGCAATCCACCAGCACTTCTTCCTTCCATGCACAGTTTTTCCTTCGAGCAATACTTAAGTTCTATCAAACACTCAGCACAAGCAATAAAATCAGTGAATGTGTTTTTCTTCTTCAACAGCTTTCCGTTCTCATACCACTGCCTCCCCATTTCACCACCCCCACGAACATGAGCAATTACATAGATAAAACCACGATCTAACAGAGATAGTCTTGATGCCTTGAAATATGGATCGACAGAAATCTGTAAAGGTAAGAATGTTTTATAGCTTAGCACGAAAGAAAAAGAAGTAAAAGGACCAAGGATCTGAAGACCATAGAAGCTTCAGCTAAAAATACCTCATATGAACCATATCCATAAAGCAGCAATGGATCAGACCCATCAAGCTTTGCAAGTTTTTTGTTATAAACAATAGACATTGGAATTTGAGTTCCATCTGATTCAGTGACCCATTTTCTTTCTGTAACATAATTTGATGCATCAAAGCCTCCCAATACCTGAAAGAAATACAAAAGGTTGTCGTAAAAATCAAGCGATGACCATGTTGAAAGAGAAAGCAGCTTGTAGAGGAGAAAAATCGTAAAAGCCAAGTAGTTGCCAAAAAGAAAAACCTGGAAAATTTTCAAATTTTTCATGTGTTACATGTATATACAACTCATTACCATTTAATGAATACGGCTATGCATTGCAAGTTTTAAAAGCCGCAACTAATTGTGCAGAGCGCATAGGAAAGCTAGAAACTGATACAAAGCGAGAAAGTCGGAAAGAATAAGTAGTTTACTTACTGTGTCAACTTTCTTGACAACAGAAGTGCCACTGTCCATGTCATAGTCATACACAGAAGGAGGTGTTTTCAACGAGCTGTAGCAGAACCTTAAAACACCGGACGAAAATTCAGACTCTGTTGAGTCAACAGAATAGACCGGGTCAACAAAGCTAACACTACGACCACCTTGGAGACCTTCCAGAGGCTGTCCCTCAGCAGGAAGCCTATGAATTGTTATCTTCTGCAGTCCTTGTTCACGCTCGAATAATGCGAGATGATCTCGAAAAAGCTGAATTTCCTGAATCTTTACACTGTTCATATCAAACATATAGTATAGTTATTTGGCTGTAGGAAACAGGGTACCTTGAGGTTAAATGAATAATGCATCATAAAACTGAATTAAAAATTGGAAAACAACCCAGTCATGCATGCGGTCTAAGCCAAAGAACATAAATGAAAATAAAAAGTAGTTGAACTTCATTCGGATTTTGGATTGGAACACTGAAAATGGCATGGAGATTTTAACGATGCTGTTTACCTTTCTCTATGTGGAATCAGAACAGTTGTCTTAGATGTGTCATCAACTGAGCATGCGACCAATTCTGAGTTGTAAAATTCAGTGCTCCTTCTCTGAATAAAAAAGTGGTTCCCGCGATGACTGACAGATGAATCAATGCCATCTACGCGAGGCGTCAAGACCCTGAGTCCATCTTGAGGCTTGGACACATCAAGCGAGAAGACAAATCTTGTAGTTTTGCTTTCCGATGCAACAAATATATACTTATGGCTCTCAGAGGCATGAAGATCAAGAGAAAACATATCATCTTTCTCATGGTAAAGGCACACATCATTCCCCTGCTCTGTCCCCAACTTATGTAACCAGACCTGTTAATGAAGTACCGTACAAACTTAAAACCATTTGCGTCTATGTAATGTAATGTAATAACTAATAAAGATACTTGAGATAGCAACCTTGTCAGGTCGCAAGATCTCGTCCATAGTTATGTAGACCAAAGCATCATTACCAGCCCATTCAAGATAACAAGTCAATCCTTTTAGCGGCTGCCCAACTTGTTTCAGGGACTCAGAGTCGATAACATTTACTGCATATATTTCATCACCTTTCGTATCCTCTGCATATGCGACTAATTTATGATCGGGACTAGCCTGAAAAAGACAGAATCAAGAAAAAACGAAAGATCAAGTTACCAAAAGAAAAAACAGGTTTCGAAACTGAATATCAAAAATCTATATTCCAACCTTGAAAGCACCAATTCTGTAGTAATCATATTCTTGAGCTTTGATATTCTCATCCAATATAACATGCTCAGGAGGAGCATCTGGACCAATTGGCATAGTATCATACACAGAAGGCTCAGCTTTGTTATCAATGATCAAACGTCTACAATGTTGAACATATTCCTTTCCTTGAAGATTCTTCTCATAATAATAGTAAGATCCTTTGCGTAATGGTGCAGATATATCATCTTCTTTAATCCTTCCTCTTATTTCAGCAAACAATTGATTCTCAAATTGCTTCGTTCCTGCAATTTTATTTCAAAGTTTGCATAATCAACAATACTCCAAACCTAAATCGCAAAAGCAAAATTTGAAAAGACTCACCAGACATGACGGAATCAGTGTAATCGTTTTCTTCACGGAGATAAGAAAGCATATCGGGATTGCGACGAGAATCGTCACGAAGCCAATAGTAATTATCAACCCTGACGTCACCAAACATCTCCATCACATGCTCTACTTTCTTCGCTACAGGAGGAGATCTCGATTCCGCCATGTCTTCCGGTGATGTCAGCCGCAATGATTCAGCTCCGGTTTCAGAAGACGACGAGGAAGAAGAAGAAGAGGACAACCGTAGAATACAAAGGAAGACGACGCAACGAGGAACGAGGCAAGAGAGAGGAGCACCGAAACGGAGAAGACGAGGAGGAGGAGACGCGAGAAAGTGAGAGCTCAGGGATACGAGTCCACGCCTTAAAATAATCATTTACAGTCAGTGTTGTTGACAAGAGCAGAGAGCGTAAAACTCGCCGAGTTTGTTAATAGATGATCGGTTAAATCCGGTTTAGAGTACCGGTAGTTTTTTTGCTTGTATTATTGAACCGAACCGAACTAAACAATTCGACAAAAATGTAGATTGTGAAACTTGATACACATCGCTCGTCGGCACAGTGCGGAATGAAATACTGTATGTGTAAAGATTTTTGTTACTATTCGGTGCAGAACGGTACAGGACGGTTTGTATCTATATGAATCTGAGATAACCCAAACCTAACCGGACCGTAGTAAACCGAACAAAACAAGATGGGATGATAAAAATTGGTCTTACATACAACAGAAAAACAGGAAGGGACGTATAAGAATATCCAGGAGAGACAGAACCAGAGTCAGAGATCAAATGTTAAAAGTGCATCAAAAACCACTAAAATTACCAAAAG